TGAATACCAAAGTAGTAAGGAAATGTTGTGAAGTAAGTACTGGGGTTGGGGTGAATTCTACAAGGGTATAACAGTTTAATAGTACACCCTGACTGCCAGTGTTGGTCTTGGCCATAGCAATATCAAGTCAGCTATAAGAATAGAATATAGAAGATTCTGAAAGGTTAGTACAAGGTCAAAGGTTCCAAAGAACTGCTTTAAAGACTTAGTGGCCATGGCATATTTTCACTGGCACTGGCCAGAGTTGTTGGTAGGCAAAGGTAGGTGGGTGGATACAAAAACAGAGTGGTTAAATAGGAAACCTACAAGTGGGTTCCAGGTATGACAGCTAGTGTAGACCTTCGGGTGAACTACTTAAATTAGACAATGACTAAAGTTGTATGAGTGGCTAGTTGTACACTCTCTTCATGGTTGCCTTCTGTGATTGTAAAGCAATCATTAGCCAAATATACTATCAATAAAATTCTGGGTTACAAGTACTCATCTTAATATTTAAAAAAAAAGATATATAATGAATAGTAATTACAGTTTATTGATACTAAGTAACTTTCAACTATAAATAACATAAATTTAATAACTATTAATAATTATATAAAAAGAATAAATTATATAGTTAAGTTTCAATTTTTACAAATAAACAGTTATCATATTTATTAAGTAATTTTATGAATTAAAGTTATTACATGAAAATTTAAATAAAGAAGGAACAGAACAAATAACTTATGAAGCAGATTTAGTTACTATTTTAATGCATAATCTATTTAATAAATAAGTAAAAGTTATATATATATATTTTTTAATGTAATTAAACAGATATTATTATAAGACATAATTTATTAAGTATTCTACTATAATTTAAAAATTTATAAATACATATATATATTAATATATTATAATTATTAATTTATTTAATTTATATCATTATAATAAAATGAATTATTTAAAATAACAAAGAGTGTGACAATTTAGTAAAGTGAATAGATTGTTAACCCCCAAGTGGCAGATTTAGAGTTTAAATCCCAGTAACAGTGAAAATTTGCAATTTTTCTGTATTACACAGTTAACTGTCTTCTATGATTAGTTGGGATTAGATACCTGTAACCTATGTCATACTAGCATAACTGAAAGGTCTAAATACTTGTAAAATGTTGTATATAAAACACAAACTGGTATCAGATAGTATGAATCCAAGATATGTTCTTAGTTCATATAAATTACAGGAACTAGTTAGAAAGATAAAAGCCCATATAGAAGACCTGAATAAAGAAGTAACCTGAACTTTTGACAATATTACTGTAAAGACTAAACTTATAAAACAGAGCTAGAACTTATAAAACTAAACAAATGTACTAGTCTTTGAAGAGGGACCAGATGAACTAACCAGACTATCAGAATTTTTAGATTTTAGAGAAAAAAGATACATGTTAGCAAATATGTAAACCAGAGGTGTATAGTTATGATCTACCTTTTTAGACTATCTGGAATAACAACTTGGTAAAACTTGAATTGAATACTAATGTAATAAGAATATGTTATGAAGTTAGTACCAGGATTGGGATGAACTCTACAAGGCATAGTGGTTTAATAATATATCCTGATTATCAGTATTGGTCTTGGTCATAGCAATACTAGGTCAACTGTAAGAATAAGATATAAAAGATTTTGAAAGGTTTAATATAAGGTCAAAGGTTCCAAAGAACTGTTTTAAAGATTTAGTGATCATGACATATTTTTATCAGCATTGGCCAGGGTTGTTGGTAGACAGAGGTAAGTGAATGGATATAGAAACTAGAGTAGTTAAATAAGAAACCTACAAGCAGGTTTCAAGTAAGTAGCTAGTGTAGAACCTTTAGGTGGACTACTTAAATTAGACAATGACTAAAGTTATATAAATGATTAGTTGTATACTCTTTTATAGTTGCCTCCTGTAGTTGTAATATAACTATTAGCCAAATATACTATCAATAAAATCCTGGATTACAAGTATTCACCTTAATATTTTTTAAAAAAAATTATTTAAAATAACATCAAATATGAATTAATGGTTAAATTAAGAAAAATTGTATTTTTTTTTATGTTTGATTGGTAATTTGATCATCCAGAGTATTATTATATTAAGAAGTATCTTGAATCAGAAGTTATCAACCTAGATAATAATGAAGAATCAATAGAATTAAACAAAGAAAACATTACTTATATTCAACCAATGATAGAACTATTGGTTGATGATTGTAAAGTTGTATTACAAGATGGATTCTATATTATAAATATCATTACTAGAAAATATTCATAATGTTTGAATTATATATAGAATGGTTCATTTCACAATATTTGCAAACATTGTCATGTCACAAAAATTTTTGCAACAGCTCAAATAAACATGGTACACAAAGTAAAACATGATCTAGTTAATTATTTCAAAAATAAAGAACAAATTATGTCTACAAATCAAAAAAACAATATAATTTATTTTGAATCTACTAAAAAGACATATCAGAAAATAATTCATCTTTATAATGATAAGGGTATACCAATATTGTATTTATTTTTAATATAAATTTATTACAAAAAATAATCTAACCTATTTAGATATTATAGACACACTGATTTTTTATCTTTTTAAAACACAATCAAGTGTTTGTACAAATCCATTTCGACCATTAGAGCTAAACCAATGGTGATCATTAAACAATGATTCACATTCAAAACCATCAACTAAACCATGCAAGCCTAGTCATATTTTGCGTTCAATTCAATCTGAAAATACAAATAATGAAAACCCATCCCCCTCAGTTTAAAAAAGAAAGACAGCAAGTATTAGAAAGGCAAAATGCAAGATTAAGACAAGATTTATTTATTTTTTTAATTAATAAAGAATCAAAAGAATTATTTGCATTTTAAGTATTCAATTTCTTTATATATAGTACCACCATAATGAACCAATTCCTGTAACCTCTATTTTAGCTTCACAAAATAATGAACAACATACAGTAACTAAAACGTGCCTTCCCATTGAAACACATGAGACACCACTTCAATTACAATTTACAACACCTGAAGTTTACCAATCAGCGTCAACTATAAATACTCTGCACCCAGCTAATGAATCGGAAGCACTTGCGCATCGACTAGAACTTGCGCGACAATAAGTTTTAAATGTTATTAGACGTTGAATTTGATTAAAATAATGCATCATGTGGTAGTTGTGTTCAACTTTGAACAGTTATTTCAATAAAGCTGAGCTTGCGTTTAAATATTAAATTTTTGTCTATAAAATTTATAACATTAATATGAGTACATCTATGTACCCACATTAATATTGTCGGATCGTTTCTAATGAAGCTGGTAGAATTTCAATGAACTTCTATTACATTACCAGTTACTATAAAGTGCAATCGTATTAATCGTAATAGTCGGATCACGTGATAACGCATCAAAAAAGTATAGGAATTTTAGGGTACATCTGGATGTATCAAAAAAGTAGGCGCAAGAGTATTTTGTCTCTCATCTAGGAGGTGTTGTGGCGAGACACTAAACTACATAAAAAAATGAAACACATTTACGGGTATTCTGTCTCTGCTGCTTCGTGCAAGCTTCCTAAATCAATACAGAATTTAAAAGCATCGATATAGTGCAAACAAGCGCAAAAGTGCAAGTAAAATGCCAATAATTACAAATCACACGACAATAAAAGTGTAGCTATGTGCATCATTAGTCTAAATGCAAACTTCTTCATGACTATCGTCCCGATAGGCCACTTACATTAGGATTGACTGTCGTCCGACAGGCCAGATCCTGAACCAAATACGAACAAACTGCCAATCGTGTGACTGCCACCTGACAGGTTACCTAAACTTACTCAACGTCCTTATTTTGGGTCTTCATGAGGGTGGGAAAGGGCGGGACGAAAAAACCAGACAAAGTCGGGTTAGCAGAAAAAACAGAAATTATCTTGTCTGGGAAAAAACCCGTTCCCTTTAAA